TGTGAGAATATTGCACACTGACTACAGTCAGTTTGTGAACTTCCCACGGGCCCGAACTTGCAGCTGTCCCCTGTCCCCCTGGGGGCGGACCGAACCTAAGGTCGTAAAATTACAGTAGCCCACCCCAACTAGCACAGTCTTCCCTGCGGGGGTAAACCGGTGCAAGTCTCATGGCCTGGCATGCATATAACCATTGCTCATAAGCATTCAGTACGCGTTCCTCGTGCAATGCTGCCTGTGCTGGTAAGTACTATAAATAGCTAACACGGGACTAAAAGACCCCTGACACCCCTGGAAGCACCATGCTACCAGGCATGCCTAGGATCTACCATTGGTGCTCATGATACATGCAACCTTCATTATCTGAGATCTAGCTTCAGTAGCTTCAGTACACATGTTTATACATGATACTCACAGTCAGTGTATTAGAACATATTCTCCATATTTTTTGCCGTGATATTGCGTGGAACTACCGGAGCTTCCCCTACGGTCACCGGTTGAGGTGGACATAACGTACACAGGATACTACACACACTATAATATGGGCAGGTCAGGTGAAATGCCTGTACACCCTTCGTAGGGCCATGCAGATTCTATTTTACAGGAAACACACAGGACATACCAACCCAGGCAGGGATTCACTGATGGTGGGTCCGAGCTTCATCTCATACAGAGGAAGGACACATGATTCTGGACCTTATTAGGTTCAATTATGATAGGGTAGACTTACACCTAATAAGGTACCATTCTACCGGTGACTGAGGTGGTTGAAATCGAGGTACAAGACAAGGAATCATATCTGTACTCGAGATCTACATTCCAATTCTTGAAATCCTTGAAAAGCATCAACCCAGGATCTTCGGGATCCTTGATTTTGTATCTGTGTAGACTAAAATCTAGTCAGCATAATATATAACACTATTGATAGTTTTACGTACCTGAGAGGAGGTAGATTGCGGACAGACATCTCCAACTCCGGCGATAAGAGACCACAGTCGTGGTATTCTTTCCATACTTCGCACTCAGCGGTTCTATCTTCCGTTTGACTATGAAATTATCCGATTATATTCCAAGCTTATAGAACACAGAAGAAGTGACATACTTTGACAATATATCAAGCTTATCCGAAGCCTTGATAGATCTTCGATGAAGTTAGTACGTTGAAACACATGAAAATAGTAGACACATATTAGCTTACTTATCTTCTTGCGTATCATCACTCGAAAGATTTCGTGTACTGTTAACGGGCAAAAATGAGCGATCATCATGACAATACACTGTTATTGGCTGCGAACCTCCCAGACGCTGTATTCTGCGAGCCTATATCCAAGCATAAGCACCTATCACGCTTTGAATGATAACAGTAACAGCTTACCTGCAACGGAGATTGTTTCTCGCTTGGTAGATGCACTGCGCGCAGGACAAGTTAGATATGCATTGTGGTATCAGAAAAAATACAGCGCTCACGGAGTCGGAGGCAACTCCGGGGATGCGTTACTAAGAACGTATGAATCCAAGGTGTATTAAACAGTGAATACGCTCTACCTTGCCCGAGATTCCCTCTCGGGAGTCTTATTCCTACCAAATTACCTGAGTGAGAATCCTTCAGCTCTTCTATCATTTGACGACGTACCCGACCGTATCACACTGGAGCGCACGTAATTGATCCGCGTTGCCATTTGGACCTATTCTACTCCTGTGGTGTTAGATCCATATCAAAAGTAGAGAAATTGACAACGTACAGGTGCACAAGGAGTTCGCGAATGCGCTCCTCCGACATTCCTCTAATGCAAGCGTGAATAAACAGGTCGACTTCACCGATGCAGCGCTTGACTCACTTTGTGATGTCTTGCACGGGACCTGGACCGTTAGATGGAGTCAATAGTCTTCAACCGATGTCAGTGTCCTTGCATCTTAGCTTTTCCATGACGCTCACCGTCGCTTGGTCGGAGATGAATTGGACGGAGGGGAGCTCGATCTTCCGCGACGCTTTCGTCTTCCCGGTGGCTCTATGACCCTGATCAATAAAGAAGCTTAATAAGCTCTCAGTCGTATCACCACAGAAAAGAACGTCTCACGAATCCGATACAGGAGACAAAGGTGGGTCACATTGAATTGCAACATTGCCTCCCGATCTACGACGGGTATCCGGCACGTTGGATCTTGTCAAATAACAGAGAATGCCATGAAGCTCACCCTACTGCACTTTCTTCAGCTGTCTTCTTCTCTTCAGTCGATAAAACGGTCTTCTTCTATGGAAAGTGATCAGTCATACGAGGTACTCGAAGCTCAGATATAAGACACACCGACTTAGACGGATTCACCGATCCAGGCACACGAGCACCTTGGAGAGAACGCTTGGTAGTAGATGACCTGCGATAGTTTCTCCTTCGTCACAAAATGATAAAGCGAGTTCCAAACGAGCGTACCTGAGCGTCTGAGTGCGGGGAGACATTGCAATGAAGTGACTGTAGCGTTAAGAGGATAAAGCTGTATACTGTAGATAACCAATGTTGACGACAACGAATTGGGCGTCCATGCTGGCGATATGTCCCAGTATATAAACACAAGTTCGCGTACACGTGAGACGCACCAATTCCAAAACATCATACGGCACCTATCCGTAAAAAGAAAACTGCACCCGCCGTCCTCGACAAACGTATCTCGACAGCACTGGTGACATCATAGTTGACATTGCAAAAGGATGTGCGAAGAAGTAGCACGCCATGGTTCTGTGAAGAGTGAACTATGTATGCGATGTGACATGTCTGTCAGTTCAACTTACTCCAAATCCCAGAAATGAGTATTGGGGGACAGGAGGACGCCAATCTAGATCTCACGCAAGCGAAATCATTCAGCTCCACACAGTAGATCGATACTCAATGAGGTAAGTCGACGTACAGACCGATGTGTCTGGAGAAGGACAGTGATCCGCTCTGGCGAGCATCAAAGCGGACCATCAGGCGATGATGCGAAATCTTGGTAGCTGAGTAAGTGTGACAGCGTTGTGACTCCAACCGGATGCGAAGAATTTCACCTGAATGTACGGACGGATCACGATAAGTCATCCTCCTCGGAGGCCACCTATTTGCAATAGAGTGTATTTGCAAGGTAGTCAAAGTTCTCCGCCCGCAGTAGGCAAAGATGTCCGAGGGGAAACTCGCCAAAACATGCAGTGCATAATCAACGTCCCACTCCACTTTCCCGTGCTGGAAATTCACTCTAATGATAACTCCACCGGAACGGAGTTTGTGGATGCACGGCAATGCCAACGCGCGTCAGAAGAGCCGGTCCTAGAGCGACTGAGGGCGCGACATAGCACGCGAATACTGGAGCGAACAAAGTCAGGGGCAAGCTGTCGCCACAAAGCTTAAGAGCAGTGAAGACGCGCATTCTTCAGTACACAACTATTCCGCTAGGACTCGCATCATCTGAAAAAAATCCCATGACTATACAGCACTACATAGTCCAATATAGCATCCATAGTTCCATAGCAATGTCAATTTGTATAGTTGCTATGGGGCTGCCTGCAGTTGCTATAGAGGTACCTGCCAGTGCTATAAAGTGCTATGGGTGCTATAGATCACACTGCCATGACTATATAGCACAGAGCCAATGCTATGGGCACTACAGACACTATGGCAATTTGGTAGTCATCATATGCTCAGTAAATGCCATGATAAATCAGACAAGAAACTGAAATACTTCAATAATGTTTGATTTTGAAAGCAAATATTTGGATTGCATTAATAACTGTATACAATATTACACTACTAGTGCTACCGGCCAGCTTACATAAGCATTT